AAAGGTGAATGCTACCATGAGTCCTGTGTTGTGCCAACAGTGAAGCATCCTGAGACCATCCATGTGTGGGGTTGCTTTTCAACCAAGTGAGTGGGCTCTCTCATAATTCTGCCCAAAAACACTGCCATGAATAAAGAATGGTATCAAAACGTCCTGCAAGAGCGACTTCTTCTTCTTCCAACAATCCATGAGCAATTTGGTGATGATCCATGATCATGATGGAGCATGATGGAGCACCATGTCACAAAGCAAGAGTGATAAAGAAGTGGCTCGAAAAACATTACATTGAAATTTTAGATCTGTGGCCAGGCAACTCCCCGGATCTCAATCCCATAAAGAACCTGTGGTCAGTCCTCAAAAGGCGAGTGGACAAGCAGAAGCCCACAAATTGTGATCAACTCCGAGAACTAATAAGATAAGAATGGATCGCCATCAGTCAGGATTTGGCCCAGAACTAATATCCAGCATGCCAGAGCGAATTGCAGAGGTTATGAAGAACAAGGGTCAACACTGTAAATATTGACTCATATAAAAAATGAATATTGATTATATTTTTTGCCAATAAAAGCCTTTAAAACTTATTATATGCTTATCATTGTTTTTCAGTATACCATAGAAACATGGAAAAATCTACAAATACTGAAGCAGCAAACTTTGCAAAACAGAAAATTGATGTCACTGCCAAAACTTTTGGCCATGACTGTAGTATAGCTTCTACAAGCAGTATAGCTTCTATGAAGACCACACTACCTCGCATTTACAAGGATTTGCTCATGAATATTAAGTGACGCAACTTTCGCCCAATTTATTGGCTTAAAATTAAGAGTTGCTAATATTGTAAGGGCGTGGTAGATGAACAAATATTTATTAATAAATAAATATTAACTAGTTCAATTTAGAAAAAGATTACAAAACCCGGTATGCAAATATTCACAACCGAGACCTTGAATTTTCATATCGGGGCGCACATACAGAAAATGTTTTTGATTCAACAACAGTTATTAAATGGAGCGTGATAGAATGCAACAAACACACAAGTCTCGGGGAGAATTTTGAAATATTCTTAACTTGACATTCTTAAAAAATGTCTCATGGCGAAAGACACTGAAAAACTCTATGCACCATTGAACTTCCAACGCGCACTTTCTCTGTCACCATGTAAAACAAAAAGCAGCCAATCGCATTTCAAACACTGTCCAAACAGACAGCTTGTGCTTGACTGCCTGTTCCCATCCTGAATTTACATAACAAAACATTACAGATTTATTGAAGAATAACCAAGAAACCATGAGTTAAATCAAACGGAGATGCTTCAGGCATCACAACGTTGGGGTCGTGACCTGAAATTTTCTAAGAACTGTATCCTGTACGGTAGTTTTTCAAGCAAAAAATGTATAGCTGTAGGTGAGACCCATATATAAAATATGTAGCTTCTCTTGTGCTAAAAATATGTGAAATGTGATGGCACACTGCAAGGATCACATCCTTAAAGGAATTTTGGTTTACTTAGGTGAATTAAGCTGAATTATCCCATTGAGACAGAAGTGTCACTCAGTGCTCTAAAAGTGCTGGTATTTCTCTAGCACTTATTTGTATCACAGGTCCCCCGGCAATCCAGTCATGACACACCCCTCGATTGTCAGGTCCACCCCTTTAACATGCTATATCTGGAGGCAGGCCTGCAACGCTGTTTAAATCAAGACCAAATAGCGATCTAGCTGCATGTAACAGTGGAGATGAGATGCAGGGTGCCTGAATGATTTGTTACAGGTCTTGTTAAAAAGTCAATAACAATAAAATTGACTAAATAGTAAAATAGTAAATGTGTTGTAATTCTTTACAACATCCTTTGCAAGTGGAAGCTTGGGTGGGTGCTCCATCTTAAAGGGTTAAATTAAATACAAATCAGGAAGGAATTTGGAGCTTTTGCACAAAGATAGATTTGTGGGAACCTGCTGTCCTTTGGTGAAAATATGACGCATGAGATTAGTTAATGCAGTTAATCTTAAAGGGGCTTGTTTTTTTGGGGGGAGGGGGGGACAAGTTTATTTATCTGTAGAGGTGGATCATGAATACAGCATATATGATCAAATATTAATTTATTTAATAAAGATATCAATATATATTAGTGTAAATATGAGTATATAAAAATATATTAAATATTATAAAAATACACAATAAATGCAAGTACAATGTCTGGCAAAACTGAATATATTATGTTTCCTCATGTAAATCGATAATACATTTATAATCGTTTCTTGTTTATCTACTTTCCATCGACATTCATTTTGGTCCATTTTCTATTGTATGGCTTCAGAGAACGTGTATGGACTACTTTTATGGTACTTTGAAGCTTGAAAGCTTCAGTCGTCCTTCATTGTAATTGCATGGAAAAGAGCAACCAGTTCAATTCTTTAGAATTTTCCCCCTATTGTATTCTACGGGGGAAAACGAGAACAAAACGAGAGTAACTGATGATAGAATTTTCATTTTTTGGTGAACTAATCCTTTATGAGTATGTATGAGAAAGAGAGGGACTGTATTTAACAGCCATCTGAAACCAAGCCTTTAAAACCATCTTACTGCTTAATTTTCTAAGATAAAGAGCTTATTAGGATAATTATGCTACATCAAAAAGTAGTTCTGGTTCTGATTATCCAACTGTAATATAATAACTGATATATGCAATATATACTGTATAATAAATGTATACCCCTAACACAATAGAAATAACACCATAAAAATAGAAGAGACTTATTACATTTCTCACATTTTATATTTTTTAGTCTCTGACAAGCAACAATAGAGGTTTGTGTTTTTAGGTGACTCTTTAGTATTTTTCATAGTGCTGATTTTTGGTAATGGAATGGAAACCAATGTAAGTCATTTTGACCAACACAGAAGTTGTATCCAGTTTTTGAACACAAAAGGATTGTTAATCATATGTAATCATGTTGGAGCAAAATCAGTGTTAAAAAGTTGTAATATGTTGTAATATGACATACCACAGCTCGGCTGCTGAAGACAGATACCTCATTGGATCCCATTTGTTTCTGAGTGGTAAAAGAAACAAAGCTGTCTCCAACCATCATGGCTCCAAATGCCCGAGTGAGATAAAGATGATCCTCAGATCCATTAATCTACAATGGATGAATACACAATGCATTAACGGACAATGCCACCTAGAAGCATTTTAGCTAACAACATGACCAATTTTGCTATACTTGATAGTCCAAGTGTTCACAACAGTTGCAATTAAGTTACGTTTTTACCTGTGACCCAAGAAGCCATCCTGGAAAAACCAACCACATGAGGCCACAAATGAAGTTGGCAAAAAAATCAATTTGAAGGAAAAACCTCTGGGGCTTAGTGAGCAGTTCAGATCGTTTCAAAGAGCCTTTCAACTGATTGTGATCCAAGATCAAAAGAATCAAACTGCTTAGAAGAAAGAATAAGAACACCGCCACATCCACCATGGGAAGCTGGAGAGAAAAAGTCCAGATTTATGGATTTAACTGGCATGTAACAAACATTTGATTTTTTAAGGCATTACATGCAACAGAGAGCACTGCATTTTACATTTATGTTTAGATGATTACTATACCAAAGTGACTTAATATAATAAAATGCACACATCATGTTACAGTACACACATGGCTGCAGTCTGTTCCTTGAACGTGTGCCTCTCTGCAGACTCCCAACAGTGAAAGGAAGGCCTGTATATAAAGACATTTAAAACAGTTAATTTAATTTATATTTCAAAATGTTGATAAAAGGTCACAATAAATATTAAATTGATGCAATAATGCAACACTTAAATATGTACACTTCAAAAGGTTGGGGGTCAGTTTTGTAATGTTTTCAAAAGAAGTCTCTTATGCTCACGAAGGCTGCATTTATTTGATCAAAACTGTAATATTGTGAAATATTATTGCATTTAAAATAACTGTTTACTGTTATAATATATTTTAAAATGTAATTTATTCCTGCCATGCAAAGCTGAATTTTCAGCAGTCATTACTCCGTTACACTGTAAAAAATGACCGTGAATTTAACGGTAAAAGACTGTAAAAATGCTACAGTAAAAACCTGTTAAATGGTTAACGGTAAATTCCCCTACTATATACGGTGAAAAACTGTATTGGACATTACATGTATTGGACATTAATTTTACGGTAGTATACCGTTTTTTGAAGTAAAAAAGACCATATAATTTACAGTGAATAACCGTAAACTGACATTCCCAGAATTCCCTGCGTTACATTTCAAATTTGATGTTTTGTTGTTGAAATAACTATGTTTCTTCTTAGTTTTTTCTTATCAATTTTGTATATTAGGGTTGTGTGTTACACCTAATGTTGTTAAATGAATGTTTATTGCATTATTTCAGTTTCATGTGTGTTACCATGATGGTGTTTAGTGTTTGTGTGAATGACACTGTGCACCTTCTATATATGTTATTATTTAAAAGCTGCTTGTGATGGGCTTTGGTTCATCATGTGACTTTCTCATCACCACCTGCATTTGGTGGTTATCAGTGTATTACAAAGGTACAAAACAGATTTCAATACTTCAATAGGTTGGTATATTAACATTATATCAGTTAATGAAATTATGGTACTTAACTGTAAATTTAAGTTAAAACCGTAAAACCTAAAACGTTGCTACCGTATTTTTTACGGTAAAATTCCGGCAACCACAGATGCCGTTTTTTTACCGTAAATTTTACGGAATTTTTTTTTTGTGTACTCTTCAGTGTCACATGATCCTTCAGAAATCACTTTTGATTAATTTAATGCATCCTTGATAAATAAAAGTATTAATTCAAATGTTATTTAAAAAAAATACACCTTACTAACCCCAGACATATGGAGTAACTGTAAGGACTCGGAGTAACTTCCCAACTTTAAAAATACATTTGTTGGTGTAATCTAGCCTATAGTGAAATTAACTGAGCCATATTAAATAATATTTTAATTCGAATAAAACCAGTTTATTTACCATGTGTAGTACATTTTAGATCACCTGACAAACGGGATGAACTATTAGATTACTTACTGTATTTCTCCTAAAGTTTCAAGAGAATATATGCAGGCATGTGTGTGTGTTTGCATTGCACTTACAACAAGCCTCGAGACGGAATTAGCAGACAGAGAAATTGGATGGTTGTTGCTTTTGAAGAAAATGAACTTAATTACTGGCAACCCACACACATACGAGTGAGCGCGTTACTTCAAACTGCGCGCTTTCGTCACTGACGCTTCCCCCCTGCAACACAAGAGCGTCTAACACATTACAAAGGTATTATCACAGTAACAATAATTTCCGCCAAGATGCCCAATAATTACTACGGTTATGGTTACTACAAAAAAAAAAAAAACATTATAATATAACATACACATTACGAACAACTTCTTAGCAGCTCCGTCTCATATAGACGGAATGCGTCGCGTTTTTACAACGCGTGTTAAGTAACGCGTCTCGAGACCCATGCGTTCTGTTCCATTCAGACCCCAAGTAGTAGGCTATGTGAAGTTGTGAACTTCCCCTAACGACTTTCACTATTCATTTCTTCCAGTTTAAAAGCTATAGTATGGTATTTTATCTGATACTATAGTAGTACCCTGGTATTTTTCGTAAAGGAAACAGTGTGTCATTTAGCATTCATTTTCACACAAAACTATTTTTTTTCCTTTCGCTTATTGACATTTACAAACAACAACATTATATAATCCCATGATTTTACACACGTAAAGACCCACCTCTGAGGAAAAAGCCAAACTGGAACACATCCTATACGCCATGCTGAGTAGTAGTCCAGCCACAAGTTCGGCTGAAATGACTTGACTTCCAATTACTTTCTCCCTGTTCGTTGTCATGGTTGGTTCACAGTCCGAGTTGGCGGTTAAATCAATGTTTTCAGTGCGGCAAGGAACTGCATTTGTAGCCCGCTGGCTTCTAAAGCCCTCATACGTAACGTGCCCTTATACAACCTAATTATGAAACTCACTGGACGGGTTCCTCAGTTCTCTTGAGTAACCCGGGGCTGATGGCGAATTCATGTTCTTCTGGCTGCAGCCACTTTCTACAGTGTTACGTACAAATCAACGGGAATAGAAACGTTCACGTGAAGCCAGGACATCAGCAGACACCGGAATAGTGATTTTCATGAGGTTTTAAACGTGTAGTGCTTTTAAAATATACTGTTAGACTGTTAAATCATAATTTATTTGAAATCAACATTTATTTTATTAATATTCACAACGTAAGTTTCACAATTAATTCAAATTTTTCCTCACACTGCATGGAGAAACAACCGTTTTATTTATAAATAAAACATTAACATTCACTCATGAATAAATAAATTATATATAACCCTGTTAATATACATATTTATGAAATGTTTGGTCTTCCAGATTGTGTAATGTAAGAAATAACATCCTTAGCCTATATAGCGCATTTATAATGTCAGTCTTATGCACGTAGTTATATATTAACATTTTTGGGAACCCTTCACTAAATGGAAACCAATAAATCAGCTTAAAGCCAAACATTTATCACATGATTTTTTCTTAAAGGCTTTTTGTGCATGCAAGCAACTTAACTATTGGATAAGAGCCATTGAGAATTGGGTTACATGATGAGATATTGAGGTCAAATGGACTTTTTTATTATTTCCCAATAAATAATAGTTAATAACATATATTTCTTTTTTAAATTGTAATTACATTTAATTTAAAAAGTAACAATATATTAATAATATTATATTGGCTATGCCTAAATCTGCAACTCATTGGTGTAAGGAAATCAGTTCAGTGGCTGAGAAGTGGCAAATAAGAATTATGTATATTTGTCTAATGCACTGCATACCAACTAGGTGTTTTGACAATCTTTCAGCATGTACAAATATGTAACACAGGTGCATAACACTGGTTTAGTGTTGATTGACAGGAAGCACTGTGCGTCATACAGTATGAAAGCAGAAAGAGCAATCTTATCAAAGCTGTCGATGAAACTAAACATTGTTCTCTTTCAAACTGCAAAGTTTTGTTTGAAAAATATGCTTACTGATAAGAAAGCATATGCAATTAATTGAAAAGGAGGGTGGAGAATTATTTAATTGTTTGAAAAAAATAACAGTAAATATAAATAAGAAACAGATAATTATTTTAGTGCATAGCTATAACATTAAGTACAGTGATAAACAATTAATGATCAAAAATTTGTATGTATGTATCAGCACATGACAATGGCCAGAATTTATTTTGGTGAAGTCTTGCTCGATTCTAGCCGTGGTCCACACCCATAGGAACTTCTCCGTATCATTGTACTTTTGTTCCTGGACAAACACATTTTGTGAAATATTGGTTTAGTTTGGTCATGGTCACACTGATGAAAACAATTGCAGAACAATGAAAGAGAAGTGAAGTGCCCAGTCACATGTTCATATAACTGAGAGAATGATAGAGACCTTATATATTCAGTATATACATACACACATTTATTGATATACTTTACGTGAGTGTGCACTCATATACAGTACATCCTTATAATAAATGTACATTGAACAGATTCTACATATTAATGTATTTACATCAGAGTAACATTCATAAAGCCATGACGTAGCTAATATATCTAAATATACATAAAGACAGTGCAATATATAAATGTGTATTATTTGGCACCACCCAGTCATTTTATCTCATCACATTCAACTCAGACAGCAGACTCACAACTTGAGTAAAACATCATTTCTTTTGTTGTGGCTCTGTAGATTAAATAGTGCCACAGCATTGTCCAAAATGGACATTTCAAGAATCAAGAATGGTGAAGGTTCGGCCAGTCCTGAAAAAGTTCTCAATCTCCTCCAGAGTCCGGCCTTTAGTCTCTGGCACACATTTAGCAGTGAAAATTATATTCACTACAGAGACGACACAGAAGAACAGGAAAGGTGCAAAGAGTCCATAGGCATCCTATATGAAAAGATCAAGTTTGTGTTTTATAGCTATACTTATGAAAAGCTCACACAACTATGTATATGAAAAATACTAGAAATTGAAACAATCAGAAAGAAAAAAATCAGAAGAAACAATCATGTATAACATGAGTATAATCAAGAGAAGCTTGTATTATCTTTTAATGATCTTGAACAAGGATCATGTGCTATTAGGTAAGTTAAAATAGGTATTTTTCCAATTCCTGTTTCTATGCGTGTAAAAAAAAAAAGAGAGATTTAGCTCACCACCACATGCATGAAGAGTTGTGTCAGAACAAAGGCTGTGATCCAGCTAACACCAACGCACAAACCAGATGCTACACCACGTGCACCCAAAGGTAAAATCTCTGACATTAGCAGCCATGTGATTGGACCCCAACCCATAGCATAACCTGCATGGGAGATTTCAGTGACGTTATGCTGCATGTTATTTTACATGAGGAAATAAAACTAGAACTATTTCTAAAAGTGATGTAATCCAGTCCTGTTTCCAAAATGATTGTTTCTCTAATAAAAAAAATCAATTTTAAGCCATTTCAAAATTTTAACGTGTGACTTTATCATCCCTAACTGAAGTGTCGTAATAATCAACAGGTTCCTTATCTGTCATTTATGAGATCCACAAAAAGCTTCTGCTGTACAGTAAGTCAAAGTGAACTGGTCACACTGTTTAATGAACAAACTAAACCTGAAACTAAATAAACTCACCAAATATGATGACCATAGAGCTTATTAGAGGAATTAGAGTTACTGGATCGAAGGCAGGGCCTGTTAAGCCTCCATAAGTGCTCTTCAAGCCCTCAGTTACAGTAAGATTGCCATGGTTGCACGGTGTTTTATGAGTGTACATGGTCATTGAAAGCATGGCTAGATACATCAAAAAGCCTGAAGGAATAAAAGATGACTGCGTTTTAGGTACTTTTTCCAAGGAATTACATTTACCAAATGTAATACTTTTATTGTTAATTCTACACAAACCTGAGGTGAACAGTAGAGCTTTTCGACCTGCTTTGTCCATCAAACTGGCTGCAATAGCAACAGAAATCAATCGTACAGCTCCCACTAATGCTGCGTCATATTTCGGTTCCTGAATGGCAATAAAACATCACATTTCTTAGATGGATAAATGTGCTTTCAGGTATTTCACAGTGTGAAAGAATGAATCTTTGAGACCTACCAGTGATATAGCTGTCATGTGGAAGATGGGCTCCAGATATACCAGAATTGGGGTTATACCAGTCATCTGCTGCAGGAATCTCATGACAACTGAGATTAGAATTGGTTTATAGTATAAAGGTGTTTTAAGATCACTCCATTGAACGCCCTGTTGGAGAGAACATGCAAGTCATTTAATATTCTATTTTTATATAATGCATATTTACATTTTTGTTTTATTCCAAGCAATAATTGGCAGCCCCCTGCAATACTGCAGCAAACGACCAACATCTTTGAAGGTTGTAAGTCATGCTATGTTCATTTGCAACAAAATCTGATTTAAAAAATCAGTGAAATACAATTGATCCTATTTTCTCTTATTGAATTATATCTGCATGACCTTCTAATTTTATGGCAAACCACCCTGATAACATGATGTAATCCACCACAATGTGCCTTTTACCTGAGAATTGATACTGCGCTCAATCTTATTGAACTCGGTCAAGTAATCAGAATTGGGGCCTCTGAGCCATTCTAGCGATTTAACTGCTCTTGCTCTGTTTCCTTTCATGATGTGGTAACGTGGGGAGGTCGGCATGAAGCAAAGAAAAATCATCATGATAACGACAGGGATCTCCCCAGCCACAGCCAGCCACCTCCACGGCAAAACCAAGCCTGGAGAGAGAAGATAAAATAGCATAATTTTAAAGGACATATAGGATAATGTGTCTGAAAAATGCTTGGAAATTCTTGAAAGTGTTGGAGAAAGTAAGTTTCATCACCAAAACAACCCGAGAAATATGAGCTCTCTCACCAAAAGCATAAAGTGCTAGACTTCCAAAGACAGCTGTGATCTGAGGACACGAACCCAGCGCACCCCTCACAGACGGGTGTGAAATCTCTGACACATACACCTGTGTGAAAAGATATCAGCTGATGTTAATGAGATCCATTAGGCACAAAACTGCAACCACTAATGTATTATGACGTTTCTTTAATTAAAATCCCATATGTTACAATGAAATGGTATGAAGGTCGATTTTAAATTGTCTTTTTTTATGTCAATATGTTCTTTAAATGTAATAGGGAATGTAAATGTCTAGAGAGCCCACAATGAGTTGCATCAGCAAAAGTTTGACACAACTTCCTCCTGACCTCCATGATAAATATAGCTTAAGGCTTGAATACATCTGCTCCCAAACACTAGAATATGAAAATAACTATTACTGTACCAGATATTTGTGTTTTAAACAAACTCAATTTCTCAGAAAACAAAACTTCATTTCTTCATTTTGAATCTCAAGTCAATGTAACTTAATTTAATGACGTTTAGATATTTATATTGGAAAGCAAGAGAAAAATACTGAGGAAGAGATTAATTTTAAGCAATGCATGCAACATTTAATGCCATGACTTTATCAATTTAAGACTTTGATTTAAGACCTTTTTAAAACCTGCAGAAATAACTCACAAATTTAAGTCTCTGGGAGTCGACTGATTCATTCAGTACTCATTTGTTCGTAAACAGACATGCTTATTGACAACATTTATTATCATTATTACATGCCATCCAGCATTTTATCTCATAAGATTTAAATCAGACTGCAAACTCACTAAAAAAAAAAAAACTTTTTGCAGTGGCACTGTAGAATTAATATTGCTATCTCTATAAACAAGATGGACTAACAGAAAACTTACAGGAATCGATCCAGCAGTGATACCACCAGCGATGCCAGTCAGAAATCGGCCCCATAATAACATCCAAAAGTTTTGTGCGGCCCCCATCACAAGGAGACCTACAGTAGATGGTACTCCTGACAACATGATGGTTATTTTTCTCCCAACTCTGTCATTCAGCACCATGGCACTAACACCCCCTAAGGCTGCTCCAAGGGTGAAAATTGACTAATAAACAAAAGAGAAACTAGTTACAAATATGTATTTTTACTGTATGTTAAACTTTATACCTGAAAATATCTTCCATATCTTTAGACACATTAATGATCTTACACCAAACCATGATATCTGATGGATGTCCATTTGCAACCGAGGGTCATCACCCTTTTGAAGCTGGGGGATGACAGGGGAAGGGAATACTAAGGCAAACCCAAAATTGAAATTGCCCAGAACAGCTGAAAACACCGCAAGGAAGAGCTTTCCATGTCTAGAAAGTATAAACAATCGAATAAATGCAGGAAACCCGTAATATAAAATTTGATTGAGACAGCATAAATCGAAAACAAAGAAGGACAAAGGAACGATGGAGTCACCTGAGTCGAGCTGGTTTGTTTCTAATTAATGCGGTGGTTTCATCCGGACTGTCTTCCATCTCTCCTCCGCTTCACACTGCAGACTGAACCGCTTTAATGCTCGAATGGGTATAACTGAAAGCAAGTGAAAGTAAAAGCCATTTTTGCAATCCTGGGATTTCTAGATAAGGACAAAAAATGAAGGAAGCAAACGTCAGAACTTCCTCAACTGAGTAATGTGTTAAGCAACCAGAAATTCCAGTCAACAGCCACAACGCCATTCAGAAAGAGAATACAATCTATCCTACAGAACATTCTCAAAACAACCTAAAAGGACAGTTAAAAAGGGCTTAATTAAAAAAAAAAAAAAAAGTTATTCCAAATTGTACCATAAAATAACCCGGTATCTGCAGGATTTTTAAAATCAAATTTAAGACCTTTAAAGAACTTTTTAAGATCTGCACTTCACATTTCAGCCTTTAAACAGTTTTTAAGAAAAGGGATGAGTCAAAAGTATCAATTATTATATTACTTTAAACAGTTATTATCAATTAATTATTATATTAAATAACAAATATATCTTAATGTCTTAATTGTTTAGATTTTTATAATGCATTAGCTTTTTGTCGATCCACTGGTTCACATTTAAAAATATGTAGCAAAAATAGCAGATGGGCTTATTGAAAAAGCTAATTCGTTCTCTGCCAGCAGGTTTCACTTTCGGAAAAAAAGATAATCGGTTTACCATATTGACTTGAAAATACTGTTTTCATGGTCAGTTTTTCATTTATTATTTGCTAAAGTTAGTGAATGTTTACATTAGAGTGCACGTCCTGCTACGCTGAAATGAATAGGGGAGCGGCTGGAAACTAGCGACCTCTCCTGGTTGGAGATAGTATTAACATCATAAACTGAAAGCAATTTTTACCTGACTTGCTTTTCAAGTAAGCAAGCCGCCCCCCCCCATGGACATATTTCTCCAAACTAAGTTCAGTGTGCCTACTGTCATCAAAAAGAGCACAGCCATCAACATATTTTAATTTTTGCCACACAGCAACAAGCTCCCGGCTTCCTCCGTTTATTATGGTTGCTATGGTTACCTCAACTGTCCGAGCTCAGACCGCCAGCTGCTTCAAGACGCGCCGCGCCGCTCCTCGCCGCTTTTCGCCGCCTTTCGCCGCCCGCTCACATTGAAAATGAATGTCTTCCGTTCACTTTGACGCTCTCGCCGCCGGCGGTGTGAACGCACAGTAACCAATCCTGACGCAGGAGGCGGGGCTTGTGGAGGAAAAAAAACACGCAAATCGAGCTTCCCCCGCGCACGCGCACTGTACTCTCTCCCGTCTTTTATGTCTGGCGCTGTGGCCGCCTCCCGGTTTTGAGTAATACGGAACAACAAATGTGAAAAATTCAAACACAAACACTGTTTCTAGTTCCCACACGCCCGTCTATTTGAGTATTCCCTTCGTCCCATGAATGAGCCATGGCGGTGAACTTCGGCAAGATCGTCGTGGGGATTTATGTGGAGATAAAGCGCAGCGATGGTGAGTTCATATTTGGGTCGCTTGTAACCGTCCGTTAAAGTCGTTTCCCCGGTTCGGCTAACGGATGCTAACGTTACCACTCAAAACACCTGACAGAAATGATAGTTTTAGGTGGTCGGGCCTAGTATTAATCGATATATGGCGTCAAGTTTGGTCTGTTGGTGCTGGTTGCCGGGGTAGTTAACGAGCTTGTGTCAATCAACAGTGCAACTGTCGGTTTTACGTTAGCCACCTGCTAAACCCGGGTGGAGTTTGTTTAGATTCATAATGTGTGCGATGATATTTGATTTCAGCCCAGTAACTGGCTTACTTGATGTAGATTAGTGGGGAATTATTTATGTACTGTATTGGTCTAGGGAATATAACTTAATCATGTAAGTACTATAGATTCTGGATTTGTGTGGGTTAGCCATCTTAAGTCACTTGCAAATGAATGTTTTGTTTTACAGATTGGTTGAAAATAAGTGTGGACAGAGGGAAGTTGCTGGTTTCATCCAAACCAGCTGGTTTGTTTAGCTTGGAGTCTTAAACCCAACATAAGTTTGGATGCCACTCACTTCACATTAGTCACTCATTTGAGATGATAATGACCTTAGAGAGTTCCGTAGTCATACTAATTTGACTGGTTTGTATTGATTTGAAGATGACAAGTAAGTTCCTTGAAGTTATGTGATGTGTCATTATTTGGGTTCAGAGATTAAACTTCATCCTAGTGGCCAAAGGAAATATTGACTGCTTGGGATTAGTTGCATTATTATTATCAGATGTATAAATCTATTGCCAATATTCACACTTCAGTCTCTCAAAAATAGAACCAAACAATGGCTTTCACATGTGATGTAACCTGTTTGATGTACTGTTTGGATAACTACTTACATTTGTAAGTAACAAACATTTTTCGTTAGGTTAGGAAGGTTTATAGGCTAATTGATTCAATACAAAGATGAAAACAACTTTCCATTTAGAAAACTAACAACCACAACAACTTTAAATAACACCAGTAATAATTCTACTAATATTACTTGTACTAATCAATCATCATTATTGTTTTTTTTTTATTATTATTATTATTATTAATAGTACAGCATTCACTGAATATTATGTTTTAAATATTTGTAGATTAATTGTAATTTAGTTCATCAAAAGCAGAATTAAAACTGAAACTGAAATAAAAACACTGGTTTTTGAATGTGTTTAAGGATCAAAGTATCAATTTCTGCTAATGATGTCTCAGTACATAGTTAGTAAATCTAGTGTTGGTGTCTCGTGAGCATTCAGTGGCTTTTCATTGGTATTGGCATCAATACAATTTGCAAGACTGTCAGAAGAGGTTATGATTTTATCTGTTTGAGAAGGCTGTGTTATATTTAACTTCAGCTTGTAGCAAAGAAACAAGTGAGCCCGGGTCTGTTGACATGTTAGACAAACCACTCCTGTCTCTTTGGGAAGTTTCTTGTACGGTATTGCGTAATAGAGATGACTCTTGACATGCTCTCTGAAGATGAACAGTGCTTGTGACATCTTTAAACAGAGAAGGTCTCTAACGTCAAAGATGTGCCTTTACTTCAAACTGGGTCTTAACTTTTCTTTTGGCCTGATGTTGCATGCAGGAGTTTTAAATAGCTTGTTTTATGGCAGGATAATATGTGCTTTTTCTTTCTGATGCCGCTGTTGAATAATTGCAGGGATGTCGACGTGTGAGTAGGAATAGCTCTGAATAATAGATACGGAACCGTGGCTGTTTGTTTTCAGTGATGCTCTGATAGGCTACTTTTCAGTAGCTATTAGCACAACTTTTGAAGTGTCCTCAGAAGCATATTGCTGTTGACTTGCCGTCTTACATAAACTCTTTTCAAGTTCCCATTAGATTTGTAAAATTTCAAAATGGATATATGAATGTTTTCAATTTGTCTTTCACACTTAGAGGTGTTGGGTTTCTTACAGGGCGAATACACCAGGCCATGGTGACCTCTTTAAATGAAGATAATGAAAGTGTTACTGTGGAATGGATAGAAAATGGAGACACTAAAGGAAAAGAGGTAAGTATAGCAGCCTCTCAGCTGCCTGTGTTATTAATAATGGAAAGAACAACATTCTGGTGTTGTTAGGGTACAGTATGAAACTCTCAGATATTACGTGGACACATGCTGTGTTTCTTACAAATATGAATTATGTTGTCATGTACCCTGTATCATTTTTCTCTTTAGGATAAAAGAGAAAAATGTGTTGGGAAAAAAAGTTTTCACTTTTTCACACTTTCACACTTTTTTCATGTGTTGGAAAAAATATCAGATTTCTTGCAATGTTAACAGCTTGTTCATTTTTTCGTAACAGATTGATTTGGAGTGCATATTCTCGCTAAATCCAGATGTTGGTCCAGAGGAGGAGATTTCCTTGAGCCCTGTTACACCACCGCCTCCTACACCCAGCTCTGTGAAGGTCAACAAAATCCCTAAGGTTTGTATGAGGCCAGAGTTAAATGTTGAACTTGCATTCTAATTGTTTGCAACATTTGAACCTTTTTGTACACTTGTTTGTGTGCAGAATCGTAGAACTATTGCACCGGGAAGGAGTGAAATCCCATCCAGAGACAATAGAGGTATATTTGTTGTTATTTGACTCCGGAATAGGGCTGCACAATAAATCAAAATAAGTTATGAATTGCAGTATGGCCATGTGCAATTATTAATCTGCCAAAGTGAAAAAAATGTAGCGTGCACGTGCTGGGTGCTTCAGAATGAAGGGGCGGCACATGTATGTGTCAGGCTCATGATGCAGTGTTTTCAGTGGAGTGGAGCACACTCCACAAGCACTTCATTTTGACAGGGTACTCTGAATTTGTTATAACATGCACTGGGAACAACTTTTTTCCTCGTTTGCCCAGTTCTAAACATTTTTAGTGCTAAATGTTACTATGCAAATCTAATGTACTGCAATAAAACGAATTGGCTTAATGTGAAGTCTTCCTTGACTGTAAAGCATATTTTATTTGAAATACTTTAAATAATAATTAGGCAATGTTGTTATACAGAAATTACATTCATGGACATTAAAAAAGCTTCTCCTTGGAAAATATTAGAATTTTTTAACAAATCAAATTTGATATAGATTTTATGTAACTTTTATTGTTGTTGTTGGTTTGTTTTTGTAACATTATTTTATATAACTAATAGAAGTATTATTTTTATTATCACTATTATTAATTTATTACTCTTTGAGTTTGCCATGAATTTAGCCTTTGATGTTGATATGGTGTTAAATGATACATATAAATAATAACAACAGGGTTTTGTAGACAAAGGGGCCAAGTTCAGCAGAACTGGAAGAAAGTGCATATAAAAAAAGTACACTAACTAAAAGTCTGTTAAAATTAAGACAAATGAAAGATTACGACAGATGTATGGCTATTGTACAGCAAAATTCTCATTTTCAATACAATTAGTAATAATTTAGGATTATTTTGTTCGGTTACTAAAGAATAACGGATGTTAAAGTCAACATGAAATGGAAATTCCCCCATCCACCTCTTCATCTATTTTCTATTTCTTCATCTATTTTCTATTGTGAACGATACATTTATGCACACATTTAATTTTTATTGACTTAGTAATTTTTAACAAAAATGTCAGTCTTTAGTCAAACTCAGTCTTCCAGTGCAAAATATTCTCTCTCTGATAACATATGCCGGACTTCTTCAGTCATTTAGACCGCTTAAACCCCGCCGCTTTCTTGCAGTTGATTGAAGTATTGCATTCGGATCTGCTTCTGTGCAGTCAACAGCTGATGGATTGAACCAATTCATTTTTTCCCCCTATAATCCATTTTACTTGGATGTAAGTTACAATATGGAAGAAAAGATCTGTTGTGACCTTGACAGAAATTTTAATCATAGCCAAAATAGTCACAATATTGCTGAGTCCGCATGCTCAAACAAATAGAGTGATGTTTTAAAAGTGCCAGAGTGTTTTACTTATAGTGACTGTTTTACTACACATGACTTATAGTTATGTCAGCATACTAAGATGGCTGTGTTTGAAAACTTGGTGAGCTGTCTATCTAAGCAGCATTTTTGTCCATCATAGGCATGTTTGAGTGCTCCTGTGATGCCACTCTTATGTGTTCTGTTTTAAAGTTGGCTCGACTCGGGGACGGCCGGCCCAGCAGCAACAGCCAGAATCAGCACCCCCTCCACCAGTACAACAGCCCTCTCAGCCCACACAGAGCCAGACCCAAAGTCAGCTAACTCAGCAACAACAAAACGGTAATATGACACTCCTCAGTGCTTTTCAATCTGTTCCTGTCAACCCCCTTTTCCCCACAGGAAAAAGGACTGAAAAAGGCTGAAAGGACTGAGGCCTCCTGCGCAGGATGCGTATAATGCATAAAGAGAAAGCAACCTTTTAGAGTCTGAATTTTGCAGCAAACCTAAACCTTGCTCATCTGTCTGTATCTTGGCTCAAATCTGTGGGGTGGGGTGTGGTTTGGCTACTCCAGCCGCCCCTCTGAATGTCAGTGACTGTTTGTGACCGGGCAGGCTTGTCCTGACTCTGAACCTTCCTGATTAATCCTCTTGCTTTGAATTTATGAAGCTTACAAGAGTCTGTCTGCTGAATTAATCTGGAATCAAAATGCTCAAACTGTTTTCTATGTGCAGCATGGTGCTGCCCATCCTTTGGGTGGAATTACAATTGTTCGGTTTAATTTGCTTGTTTAGTGCAGGGTTGGGGTAAAATTGATTCACAGATATGTTACAATTCTTTCTCTGAATTGCAGTTCACCCAAGAATGGAAATCTGCTTAAAATTTACTTACCCTCAGCCCATCCAAGATGTAGATGAGTTTATTTCTTCATCTGAACAGATTTGGGATAATATAACATAACATCACTTGCTCACCAGTGGATCCTCTGCAGTGAATGGGTGCCATCAGAGTCCAAACTGCTGATAAAAACATCACAATAATCAACAAGTAATCCACAAGACTCCAGTCCATCAATTAACATCTTGTAAAGTGAAAAACTGCATGTTTGTAATAAACAAATCCATCATTAATAAGTTTTAACTTTAAACTGTTACATCTATTCAAAATACGAGTCCATAATAACATATTAACACTTCCTCCAGTGAAAAACTCCATTCCCTGTTGTCCTCTCGCATCAAAATCCACCAACACATTTGTTTAGAACTGTTTTGGACTGTTTTCACTTGTAAATGGTGCTTGATCTGTGCATATTTATCTCCTAATTTAGACTTTTTCACTGGAAATGCAATATTATGGTTATAGGACTCATTTGAAGTTAAAAACACATTAATGAATTGTTTCTTAAAAACACGCAGCTTTTTGCTTTACAAGATGTTAATTGATGAACTGAAGTCATGTGGATTATTTGTGAATTGTTGTAATGTTTTTATCAGCTGTTTGGACTTTCATTTTGATGGCACCCATTCACTGCAGATGATCCATTAGTGAGCAAATTATTTAATGCTAAATTTCTCCAAATCTGTTCTTTCTAATCAAATCTAATTTAAAGATTCCCACCCCAGTTTGGTGTTGCGAGATGAGTCAGTGTTCAAACTGCACACTGTTTTGGGTAGATTAAATTAATCAGTCAGATGAATATTAATGCCTTCATTATGAAGCCTATCTTTTAATCCATGTTCTGATGATACTATCGTTTGCAAGTGATAGTAGTAATGTAGCAAGTAGTAAAGCAATAGTAGCAGGGTATGTTGCAGACAGCAAGAGTGCATAGATAAATGACTTTGGAAAAGGTCTGCTCAGAGAATAGAGCTCTTTAAGATAGAGAGGGCTGTTGGCGCTACCATGTGCCAGCTGCCAGAGGCTCTGGCTTGCCTCTATAGCCACTCTGTCTGCACACATACACACTTATATTAGAGAGATACAGAGTGGGAGGAGGCGGGCTGAAAGAGAGGAAATGGTTGTTGCCTTTGTTAAAATGGAATTGTGTGTTGTTCTGCTATGTAGCAGCAAGGAGGAAGTCGAACTGTGTGAAGGAAGTGGAAAAATTGCAGGAGAAGAGGGAGAGACGCAGAATACAGCAACAGGAACTGAGAGAAAAGCGAGCACAGGTAAGACTTCTCATCTTTCTGCCAATTATATCTCTCTTCCTCGTCTCTCAGCTTTTAATTGTGATGTATTTGTCAGGTTTGACAAATAGATTAGTTCACCTGGTGGTGTTCCTATTGTGAATGTGCTTGTTTTGTTTTAAAGGAAATTGATACAACGATTCCAAACTATGAAATACTGCAGATGATCCGAGACTTCAGAGCAAGTTTGGACTATCGACCGCTAACCACGACAGATTTGGTAGGTTCGGATGAATTAACTTCTGGGTCATATTTAAAATATAATAAATACAAGAATGAATGAATTAATTAAATTTAATTTAAAGGTGCCATAGAATGCATTGATATAATATTTTAAATTGTTCTCCGATATCTACATAGAAGGTATGTGGCTTAGGTAAGGACAAAAAAATCTCCAGAAACTGTTTTACATGCCCATTTACAACCCATTTACTTTCTCTCGCAGTTATATCGTTGGGTAATTATACTGTATATAAAATGCGGACATCAGGGAGCTGCTATTAATATGCGGGGCATTGAAACTGCTTTCGAATGCACGAAATGGTTTTACTTTCACTTTCGAGATTTGCGATCGCACGTGCTGTGCAAACTACAACGGCAGTACTTACCACACATTTTACAAGATCAGATGCTTGTCAGTGGTGCACAGGATCTGTAAATCATTCGCCATCATCCTCAGTCATCTCTCCTTACTCTGTTTATGTGGTAAGTGAAATCTTATGTACTGTAATGTAACAGGCTACTGCTAGCAAGCAGCTAACCATGTCTTTAGTGGCTCGCGTTATTTTATTAGAACTTGCTTTCCGTGCCTTTCTGAATACAGACACCAACCCATCCCTGCACATCACATCCCCTGCACAGCCTAGAACATAACATTTATTTCCATGATCTGCCATTTTCGCTGTTGTCCTCACTTGTTTCTTCACAATACCTGCAGAACTTCTGATGATTTGGCTGTGCAGGTCCGGCTGGCCTAGAACATGGGCGGGTATATGCAAATGTTGGGGGCGTACATATTAGTGATCCCGACTGTAACGTCACAGTCGGTGTTATGTTCTGATTCGCCTATTTTTCAGTGGTCTTTTGAATGCTCAAGATTTACATAAGAAGGAGGAAACAATGGTGTTTGAGTCTCACGGTATGTCATTTCCATGTACAGAACTGTTATTATTCAACTATGCCAAGGTAAATTCAGTTTTCCATTCTATGGCACCTTTAACAAACACAGTCAGCCATCATGTATCATAATTTTTCCACATTCATTTTGTTATTATTATTATTGTTATTTTTTTTATTCATTATTTTATTTTTATTATAATGATTATTTATTCAGAATTTTTTCTCCATATGAGCTTTGGGGGGGAATGTGACCCAGACATGTTCATGTTCATACATTTGAGATCCACTTTTTAATGATGATAATGTAATACAAAAAATTTAAATATAATATATTTAATATAATATATTAGTAGTAAGAAAAAAGTACTTCATTTTTGGATGTTAAGTAATAAATTATTTTAAGAGAAGTAAAACGTGATTCATTTTTTCAACAGATTGAGGAGCACAGAATATGCGTTTGTGTTAGGAAACGACCCCTCAATAAAAAAGGTAATGCCTCAGACATTTATACTAAAGAACCAGGATTGTTCAAAAGGAATCTATGCATTAGCTGGTAATTGATGTTTTTTTTGGTCCTGTAATTTCTTCAGTCTTTTTCTTTCAAGCAAACTCATTCGTGTGAATGTTTTACACAAACAGCTCGAGATGTTTTTCTCATGCTGAAGAAACCAAACTATAAGAAGCTGGATCTTCAGGTTTACGCAACTTTCTTTGAAATTTACAGTGGAAAGGCAAGTGGCTCTTAGTTACATTCACTTTTTGTTAATCCAAAATGTGTTGAGAATACTATTTGAAGAATTGTACACATTGTACACATCCATTGATTGATTTGTTTTTGATTATCAGGAATGTTTTAGAAAATTGATGACTAATGGTTGTGACAAACTAAAGCATATTTTAAAAATAGGACAAGTCTTTCAAAGTCTTTTTTTCTTTAGGTATTTGATCTGTTGAATCGTAAGGCTAAGCTACGTGTGTTAGAAGATGGAAAGCAGCAGGTCCAGGTGGTTGGGCTTCAGGAGCGTGAGGTCAGATGCACTGAGGATGTCCTCAAACTCATTGAAATAGGGAACAGTTGCAGGTAAAACTTGATGGGTAAAACAATCATGTTCACTGAATATTGCTCTAGTTGTTTGCTGCTGTATCTTTTCCTTAAAGGGTTAGTACACCCAAAAAATGAAAATTTCTATTAATTACTCACCATCATGTCGTTCCAAACCCATAAGACCTTCGTTCATCTTCGGAACACAAATTAAGATATTTTTGATGAAATCTGAGAGCTCTCTGACCCTCCATAGACAGCAAGGATACTACCACGATCAAGGCATAGAAATGTAGCAAGGACATCGGTAAAATAGTCCGTGTGACATCAGGGGTTCAACCGTAATTTTACGTAGGTACGAGAATACTTTTTGTATGCAAAGAAAACAATAATAACATAATTTATTCAGCAATTCTTCTCCCCGAGTTACCGTCTTCTGCCATTTTGGAGAGTAACCCAGAACGTAATCAGCGTTGTTTACGTTCAGCATGCGCAAGCTTTCTACTGAACGTAAACAACGGCGATTATGTTGATTACGAAATTGGTGTTAATTTGTTTACCATAAAAACAATATTTTCTCGCAAAATTAACGATGCAGCGCATCTGATATAAATACAGAGCCGTTTCGCCTGGCTTTCGGGAGTGCAAAAGATCTCGTGATATTTCTCCTTGAGGTGCAAATCGGTCTCACGATATCAGTATAAAGTTGAGTTTGTGGTAAAACCTTTGATAGTGCTTGCATTATATTGTTCTGTCTTTTATTGCATGTGCTGATTGTTTGGGTTTCGTTTGGGAACGCATATATAGTCTGACGTGCTTTGTGTTGCACTGTCATCATTTACAAGCGTGGAGCGCGTCTCCATATCAGCCGTTCGGTCCACAAACTCTTTCTCTGCATATGCTATGAGTTTGGGTTGATTAACGTTTATCTGGGAAAACCGTGCACGTTATCTCACTAGATTTATAACGTAAATCATTTAGAAACCTATGCCAACACAGGAGAATACATCAACATATTTCTGTATGCGATTTGTTGTACATCAGCGATTTCAAAATAAAAGTTTAAACCCTCGCTCTGAGTTTGCATGTGACCAAATATTGAAATTATATGGATTTAAATTTGTAAAGTGAAACATCACCGGGCTGTTGGCACCCTCTGCAGGTATTTGTTATAATACTTAAAAGGGTCCTATTATGCTCTTTTACAAAGTCTTGATTTTGTTTTGGGGGTGTACTAGAACAGGCTCTCATAACACCTCTCTACCCAGTCTGGCATGAACGGCTCGAATAGTTCCTGTATCAAATGAAGGCCCGCCTTCTGAAATACGAAATGTGCTGTGATTGGTTAGCTGGGCCAGTGTGTGTTGTGATTGGCACCACTCGGCGGCTGGTCGGGAAATGTCACGCCCCTTACCGTAGCCGCCTGCGAGCTTCAGTGTAACTATTGAGTCAAAATCAAATCAATTTGAGCACGATTTAAACCCGGATGATTGTAACCACTCTTAAGTTCGTCTGCCTTGGGAAAGCTAGCGTGTGTCCGACAGTGATAACACTCGTTGCCTTCTCTAGTGCAGCTCAACCAGGTCTCATCCCATTCCTCGATATTTGTGATATCACAAATCCCGGAAAATATGCATTGTAGTCCAAACGAGGCGTTCGTTGTAGTTTTTGAAAAGTGATTTCTGTTAAATAAAATATCTCCTTTTGAATTGGACTTTGAGCTTTGTAACTTCGCAGATCTTTTTTATGCTCAAACAGCAACATTACAGACTAACTAAAGTTGAAAAAGTGAAAAAGCATAATAGGACCCCTTTAATGTACATAAGTTGGTTATTTTCATATTATGTATAGGCATGTTACTTTATGTATTTTAACAGTGTTGTTCAATAAAACCATGTGGTTACTTGGTTCTGATACTTTATTTGAACAAATTATTATTGGTTCGAATAATTTATTACAAAAAATATCAGATTACTCAGTTGTCAAAATAATCAGTAGATTACTTGATTACCAAAATAATTGTTAGTTATGGCTCTAGATTAGTTAAAATATTTCAAAATGCAACTACATTATTTTTTTTGTCATTGAAAATTTCTTAAAAATAGTATTAAAATATTGTCTCGTTCTAGTGAACCAAGTATCTGTATTTTGTCTCATCTCGTGAGCTAAATGTATTGTCACACCCCTAGTGTCCATGAACGTGATATAGCTCATAATTTGTGCATGATGAAGCTTTTACTCTTCAGGTTAATCATATATTCATGAATAAAACATCACTTTGAATAAGGAAATTGATAACTTTGCCATACTATCCTTTCAAATGTTAAAGTTGCCAGTCATTGCATGCTTTGCACGTGTTGCACGTTATTTGTACCATTTTGTTTTATTTGTTTATTTATTAGAATTTGAAAGATAATAACGATATTGTTATCTCTGATTTTAGTCCTTGAAAACCAAAAAAGTAGTGCTTGAAAAGTCTGTGAAAGTCCTGGAATTTCATTTTGCAGTTTCTGTATGAACCCTGGTCCTTGCTACGTTTCTGTGCGTTGATCGTGATAGTATCCTTGCTGTCTATGGAGGATCAGAGAGCTCTCAGATTTCATCAAAATATCTTAATTTGTGTTCCGAAGATGAACGAAGGTCTTACGGGTTTGGAACGACATGAGGGTGAGTAATTAATGGCAGAATTTTGGGGTGAACTAACCCTTTAACAATTCATGATCTTTGATGATCTGTAATTAGTCCACTCAATGTCTTGGTACATAAGTCAGACACTCCTGACTTAAATTTCACCTTCTTATCTTCCATTTTAGGACCTCAGGTCAGACCTCAGCCAATGCCCACTCATCCCGTAGCCATGCCGTCTTCCAAATCATTCTACGAAGGAAGGGCAAGATGCATGGCAAATTCTCACTCATTGATCTGGCGGGTAATGAACGTGGAGCGGACACGTCCAGCGCTGATCGGCAGACTCGTTTAGAGGGAGCCGAAATCAACAAGAGTCTTTTGGCTCTGAAGGTCAGCACCTTAAAAATACCACCCAAGAGCAGGGGTCAGCAACCATTTGGTTATGAAGTGTCATTTTGAAATTGCCTAGTAAATCACTGTGATCTTGCATGTCCCATGTATTAGGAGTGTATCAGGGCTCTGGGCCGTAATAAGCCTCATACCCCATTCAGAGCGAGCAAGCTCACACAGGTCCTCAGAGACTCATTCATTGGCGAAAACTCCAGGACATGCATGGTAAGTTTGATTAAGCTATCCTTCTTGAACATTGGGATTTGGCTAAATTTACTTTTGCCTGTTTGCACAGCTCTAATTGTGACTTCTGTCTGATCAGATCGCCACCATTTCTCCTGGCATGGCTTCCTGTGAGAACACGCTGAACACTCTGAGATATGCCAACAGGTAAGGACATGGCACTCTGTTGTGCATTTATGAAAACCGAAGTTGAGTAGAACTCTTGCCAATGTTGCGTCTAACTGTTTAAGGCAATCTCAATCAAGTTGTTGTATTTACCAATGTCTTGACAAGCTAGTGCCAAAGGGAAAAAGTCTTGTCATAATTATACATCTCTCCTGATTGGCTGTGCTCTTCTTGCTGTTTTTCTCTGTTCTGTCTTGACTGTCTTCAGAGTAAAGGAGTTTGGGATTAGCCCCTCTGACATCCCCTTCTCTCAGGGGGGAGGAAGTCGCTCTGAACCCTCTCCTACCTATGAGTATGAGCACATGTCTATGCAGCTTCCCTCCTTATTCTTAGTCAGATACACTGCAGCAGTGTTGGGGACTAACTAAAACTAGTAATACAAGTTACTAACATATTTCAGTAGCGTAATAGTAACCAAACTCTTTTCAAAAAATGTTTTACATTATAGCTTGGCAATCAGTTTCAATGTAGCTTCCCCAGCACTGCTCAGTAGACAACCAACATCCCGCATTGGCTTGCAACCAATGCATGGAAATACTCATGCGCTGCAATATATATAACCACAGTCTGTTTCAATTTATTAGAAACATTGGCTGCACTCACGTCTCACACTAATGGCTGTGCTTTTGGTGTAAACATTTTTCATTTCCCCTCTGATCTGCTGTCATTTCATTTCTCTAACCCTGGGAATGTCTTGGCATAGATGTGGTGCTGTCGTCCTTACTTCTCCTTTAGAAATATTTCATAATATGAATATTAATAAACATAAACACTGTACTCAATTAATAAAAATGAGATGACACCATAAACAGTTGCGTTAGTTGCACAAATTGCTGCAATTTATATGCCCAACTGCACCTATGGGAATTCTGATATCTGTATTTTTTTGTTGTATTAAAAAACAAACTGCTCTTGATTTTGTCTTAAAATGCTTATTAAAAGCATAAAACGTTTTTGAAATAATGTAAGGTTCTGTTTTAAAAATAAGGTAGGAGTATGCCGTGTCGCAGCCAAAACAAGCATCTCCGCAGTTGAGTCCTGTGACCTGTGCATGGTGTCATTTCGGTCAGCATGATTGCTCTAAAAACATCATAAATGCTGTCAATCTGTGTATTTAGAGTGAAGGAGCTGACTGTGGATCCCAATGCTGTGACAGAGGGAGTCCGCCCTAATGTCAACGCCATCAACCAGCTGGACATCATGGATGAGGAATGGGATTTGGGCAACTCCCCTCAGAGAGATGACCTCAAACTGCTCTGTGAACAGAATGTAAAAAGACATCTGTTCCTAGTACTTCCTCTGCTTTAAAAATGCATGCATGATGATACATTTTAGAAGTGTAATTTGTGTCTGTTACTGTTTACATTAATTAGATTATAAATGGCACTTGATACATTTAATACATCCTTGCTAAATATTAAGTATTCATTTAAAAAAAGAAAAGGAAAGAAAGAAAAACCCTCCTAACCCTGTAGTTTTCCAACTAATTATACCTTTTTGTTTTCTGTGCAGATTCATATATTTATACAGTTGAGGTCAAAAGTTTACATCCCCCCTTTCAGAATCTGCTAAATGTTATTTTACCAAAATAAGAGGGATCATACAAAATGCATGCTATTGTTTATTTAGTACTGACCTGAATAAGATATTTCACATAAAAGATGTTCAAATGCTCACCGATGCTCCAGAAGGAAAAACCATTTATTAAGAAAACTTTTGAACAGAATGGAGATGTGTACATTGTTCTTTTTTTGCCTAAATCTCATATTTTTTTCATTTAGTACTGCCCTTCAGAGGCTACAGAAGATAGTTACATGTTTCGCAGAAGACAAAATAAGTTCAATTTACCCTGATCTTCAAATTCAAAAAGTTTTCACTTTTAATGCATGGTTTTTCCTTCTGGAGCATCAGTGAGCGTTTGAA